TCCACCAGGCGCCGCCGTCGGACGCGGATTTGCATTCAACGCGTGCCATCGAGCGCATGCCGACGCAGAGCGGCGACCACTTTGGGCGCATGTCTAAGACGAAGCCGGGATCGGGGCAAAGTTTGACCGGGATAAAAATCATGCTCGGTTTTTCAAATCACCGGGGGCGCCGCCGAACGGGCCTGCCACGCCTTGGGCGCCATCGGTTTCGCGAGGGAAGGGATGCGCCCCGGCGCAGATGGGGCCACGGCGCGTATTTGGCCACGCGCGCGCCCGAGGGAATTCAGCGCCAAGCGCCTTTCACTCCAGAAGACCCGACGTCAGCAAAACAAACTTGAGGCCCCAAGGGGGCCCCAAAGAGGCGGACCGCCAAAACAATCACGCAATCAACGAAACGAAAAACACGTGCAAATGTCAAAAAGCGCAGTACTCCGCGACCTCTTCGGCCACGCAACACCGCGAGAATGCCCGAGAAGGCATTGGAAAAAGAGCTCGCGCGCGGCCTGGCGACTTCCCCGCGCCGCCCCAAGGTTCCCGAAGCGCGCCGAAATAACCGTAAAGAAAACCCCGGAAAGTCTTCGGAAGGCCCCCGCACCATGCAATATCCGCCACCGACTAATCTGGCGGACACCTAGCGCGCACACGCGGGCGTCCACCATGGATGCCCAACTCCGGTTTCGGAGACAATCGCGCGCAACCGCCCGGGGGCTTCGGCAACCTCGCGATTGGCCCTGGGGCCCGCGGGCCCCAGGGAATCGAGGACGGAGTTCGCGACTCCGGAAGCATCGGGCGCGGCGCCAGCCAGTCGCTCGTCTCTGGCTGACAGTGGGACGCCTGGAGATCCGGTAAAACCTGAGGAACCGCTTTTCAGAGATTCACAGAACCAGAAAACGGGGCGCGCCAAATTCTCGCGTCCGAACTTCTCTGAGAATCTCTGAAAATCTCTGAACTAGACACCCCGCGTGAAACATTCCCATAAACCCAAAACCTCGGAGCTGGCCGAAACTCTCTGAGAGTTTTTCGGCCCGCGAAATTTGGCGCGCCCGGATTTCCCGTTCCGAGATTATCTGAAATCGGCCTGCGGCGGCGCCCAGCAGGTCCTCACGCGCCGAGGGTGGGGGCCGTGGACATCGCAGGCCGCGATGGTCCCGACCACGAGGTCCTTCCTCCTGCCCCTCGGCGAGTCCACGCTCATGGACACGCTCTCTGCGCTGAGCGTGGACCGCGCCATCCGCCGGTACTTCTGCGCGACGACAGCCAACTGGCCGCCGACAGACAAGGCGATTCTTTTCCGAGCTGCGCGCGCCGCCGAAAACGCGCAATAGCCCCGGGCCCGGGGAGAAGCGCTTTCGAAGCATTTTCAAGCCGCCAGCGTCGTGGCCGCCGACCCGCCGCGCGCCGACCGCGGGACTAGCTGGGCCCACTACGTCCACGGCGGCTGGCGGGCGCCCAAGAGAGCTGTCGCGACGGTGCGCGCGGCGGGGCGCCCGCCCCACTGCAACCGCACATGCGGCCTCCATGGCGCCACAGGCGTAATATGTGTGACGCACTTTCGGGCCCCCCATCAACGCATCGGCCAGCGCCCAAGCCCCTGAAACGCAAACCTACTGCGCCCCCCGTGCAAGCCGCGCACCCGCTCCCAATGCTCGTGCGCACCAGCTTTTCTGCCCGCCCTCAACAGTTTAATTGAGCGCCCATGCGTTACTTGGGCTCCTCAAGCCCTCGAAAAGTCCTTGGGGAACTTCTGCGAGTGCGCGCGCTGCGCTCCACAATTCGGCGTTCTATTTTTCTTTGGAACTCTCCCAGAATCTCTGGTTCCGATTTGTCCCGATCTTCCGCTCAACTGAATGTCCTAGGCCACAGAGCCCCGCCCAATGTTCGACGCGGCGGCCGGGCGCCCTGCCCGCGATCGGGTGCAGCTTCGCTGCGTCCGCCTTGCCTACCGCCAGGCTGTAGCCCGGCGCGGGAGGGGGGGGGGGGGGGGGCGGCGGGCGAACCCCCGCCCATGCTGCAACGTGGATGGGGGACATCGCGACTGCGCGCGTGCCCATCCAGGGTGCAAGTTTGACATGGGCGTCGACCGTGCGCGACGGTTCAATCCATGCTACAGCCTGGATAGTTCCGCCGCGGCACGCTGCGACTCCGCGCAGCGGCGCGGCGCGCGCGCAGACCATCAAGCCCCCAAAATTACGCCGAGCCGCGCGCGCAACGTCGCGCACCCAAGCGTGGACGGCCGGCCCATCTCCGACAGTCTCATCGGCCCAAGACGCCCATGGCCAGCGCGCGCCGCTCCATCTCGGAACGCCCCTCAAGTCTGGATCGCGAAAAGCATGGCCACGCGCCGCTGGAGCGGCCCGTTGCCCCGCATTGCCAAGGCCCGACGCGCGCGGCAGCCAGTTCGAGGCGGCCGCGGCAGAAGTCGCGCGCGCGCAGCAGCGCGGCGCCCGCCGCCCTGTCCGCACAGACTGGTCCGACGACTGCCCCCGTCGAGGGCCGCGCCGTTGGCCCGCGCGCGGCGCCCCTATAGGTGGCGTGGCCTAATGGCCCGCGCACCCCGCCGTCGTCGCTCACCCCGCCGCCCCCGCCGCGCCGCCGCTGCCCCCGCCGCCCCCGCGGCCGGCGACAGAGCCGCCCGCGGGCTCCGCCGCGCTCGGCATTGCAGCGGGCGCGGCTGGCGGGCCGCAGACGACGGCACGCCGAGGTAGAGGCAGAGGGCGAGCGCGGGGCTACCAGCGCGGCGGCGGCAGCGGCGACGCCCGCGGGCCGAGCTACACCGCGTGGGTCGTCCCGCGCGATGCGCGCAACCGCAGTCGCGCGGCGGCGACGGCGGCGGCTGGCTTCACAGGGCGAAGCAGGCGGCGTCGACAGCTGAGCGGGCTGAGCGCGAAGGCCGCCGCGGCGCAGCGCTGCAGCGCGCGCGGGCGGAGCGCCGCGTCTCGGAGCACCGGCGCGCGCGGGCGCGCGTGCTCGCAGGGCCCCGCCCCCGCCCGCGCGCCCACGCGGCGCGCGGCCGCTTGCGCGGACCTCGCGCACCTGCCCGCGCTCATTCGCGGGAGTGGAAGCACGAGGTCGTTGGGAAACGCGCGATGCGCAGCTTTACGCGTCGCGTCCAGCATTGCGGCGGGCGGAACAGGTCCGTTCTCAAGGGCGTCACTGCCGAGCGCGCGCTCGGCGTCGCCTGGGCCGGACGTTAAGAAGGTCGCCGTGAAAGAAAGTCGCCGTGCTTGCTCGCCTGAACATTGGCGATCGCGTCTTCGCTGGCGACGTCGCGGTGATGCGGAACGCAGCAGGCGGCCACATGATGGGCCAGGCGTGGCACTTGGCTGCGATCGGGCGCCCTGCGGCACGCATCGCGGCGCTGTGTCACGCGGCCCCGGTGGATCCCCGGGCCTTCCACAGCGCCAGGTACGACGCCAGCGTATACCTGACTTCGGCGGCGCACAGCGCCAAGATGCAGTATGTGGCCTTAAACGAGATCGAGCTGGGGCCGGCGGCGTGGCCCACTGGCCCTGGAGATCGCTCGAGCTTCAATCCAATCGGCGACGGCTGAACAACGGATATGTAACTCCTGCGTGCGGGGCGCTGGCGGTTGCAGCCGCCCACATAACGTTGAGCTGCAGCTATAGCGGCTGCGACCTGCATCATCCACACGCTCGTATCTGAAATACGTTAATATAGTTTGACAGGAGTCAGCATGCAACATCGAAGGCACGATGAACAATGTTTAACTGTAGCTGAACCGTGTTCGAACAATGGAACGCGTTAGCCCGCATAGCTCGCCTTACTAGCTTAGCTAAGGCCTGTTCAAATGAATCGTCCCCTCCTCCTTTTCCTCCTCCTCCTCCTTGTCGTCCTCCTCGTCCACCTCCCTCGCCTCCCTCCCCGTCTCCGTCGGGGCCGCCGAACGGGTCCGCCTGGAATCAAAACGGATCGAAATTGGGCTGGCAAGCATCGTCTCTGCATCGATTCGATACGGCCGAATTGGCCGAACTGGCCGAATCGAATCGGCCAGGAAAAACAAAACCGAACCGAACCGCCCAACCGAACCGGTCGGCGACGTGAACCGAGATCGAACCGAAATGGTCTGCGACGTGAGCCTAAATTGTCGAACCGATCCGGGGGCATATCGAACCAAACCGAACTCACCCGCGGCTGTCATGCTCTGAACCCCAGCTCCACGCCCCCCTCCTCCGAACCACCATGTTTGCGATCATGTGAATATTGCATACATAATCGCGCGAATACAGCGATTTTCTATTAAAATGTAAATCGGGCATCGGCCACACATGCGTGTCGTGTCTACGTGTGGGGGGGGGAGACTCGTCGCAGGGCCGCATGAGTCCTCGACGGCAGGAAATGAGAACCGAGAAAGGATACAGTAGAGGAGAAGCAAGGAAGAGAAGCGGGAGCAGGAGTCAGATCCAAATACTCTGGGATGGGGACGGGGGAGAGACGACTGGAGAGGTGAACATCAAATCGTGATATCCGATCCCAAGGAATTGTGCGTCGTATCGGCCCGCACGTGGGCGGAACCGAATCGGATTGGCAGGGGGCAAAATGCCCAACAACGCCATGACATCGGGACCGATCAAACCGCCAGAAAACCGGAATCGAATCGGATCGGTCCAGCCGGCATTGACATCGAAGCGGGTCGAAGTGAAACCCTTGGAGGCGGGGGGAAGACGTGGAAAGGGTAGGGGAGGGCGAGGATGGCAAGAGGATGCTTACGGTTGTCGTTACACCGGCTCTGGCCAGGCCCCATCCATCTTGGGGAGCACTGGGGAGGAGGGAGCAGGAGAGATGACGAATAGCGAAGGCGAGACCAGGATCGGGACCACATCAGATCATTGATCTGGGATCTCTGAGAGCTGGCAGGTCCGAAGGACGTGTCGGACACCGTGGCCGTTCCAGAACACTCGGGGACGCGTTCCCGAAAGCTCTGGAGCGATGTCCCGATCCCAGGCCTGCTTTCAGAAATGTAGGGGGGGCAGAAAGTGATGGGAGTTAGCAGTCGCTGCGCTCCCTTGGTTCGAAAGCACGCCGAGAAACTGCGCAAAAGATCTACGAATCAGGCCGCGGGCGGGTCGACACATCTGCGCCTCAGTCCCACGTCGCCTCGGCGAGCCTGCCTGTCTGGAACTCGACGAGGACGCCACCGACGTTACCACCGCTGGCCAGACCCTCAACGTAGACGTTGTCTGCGAGGTCTCCAGAAGTGTCACTGGGACAGACGCACATCATATCCCTGTTAGCGAGGCTGGCAGCAGCCTCGTTGTCGTTCAGGCTGTCGGTGTGGTGCGGCTGCATGCGCTGCTCCCTGATCTTCTCCCATCGGACCTTCCATTCTGGCTTGCTGTGACGGGGGCCAGTCTGTTGATCGAGACCGTCCCTGTGGCGCTGGCACTCGGGCGTCACATCCTCCAGTGACTCAGGGTGCTCGTCGAACCCAAGCAAGCCGCCGACGTCCGCGCGGCCCAGCGAACTGAGGCGCCGCACGGCCAGATTCAGGTGTTCCTGCCTGGGCAGGTCCTGCCGAATGATGAACTTCGTGGGCTCGCTGCTCAGCAACTTATTGGTCACCTGGATTTCGACCTGCCCTGCCACAGTTGGCACATTCTGCCTGGCGTCCTTCTTGCTGTGCCACTTTGACGTGGACACGGTCACCCCGAAGCCATCCTTTGTTTGAGCCTCCGAGACGACGTAGCTCGCGTCGGTCCACTGCGAAAGACTTATCCAAGGAGCCTCGTCGGCATGCGCGTCGGGGGTCCGATCCAGCACCCGGAGGCCCAGAAATTTGTCGGTCTCGTTCTTGGCGTGCGACCTGAGGTAGGAACGCACCTGCACAACCTTGCCGCCGAACCAGCTGCCTGAGACCTCCACCTCGGTGATGTATGTGGTGCACGGCTTCCCGTGTTCGGGGAGGATAATGGCCTTCAGCTCTACCTCTGCGGGCTTGATATTGTTCTGGGGGATCCGCAGGAGAGTAAAATCGCCTCCGTGGTTCACGTCGAAGTGCTCCCCATTCAGATTCACCAGGTGCGGGTCGCCCTTGGCCGACACAGTCGGGGCTGGTGTCGGCAAGGTGGTGGGGATGCAAGCTCCGCACCCACCGTTGCCACTAATGTCGCACTTTGTTGACTCGCCACAAATTTCGGAACCACATCCGCACGGAAAGGAGCTGGGATAGCCAACTCCATCGGTCGATGAGCAGCTCTTGGTAACACGGTCGAACTGGCTGAAATCCATAGTTAATGCTGGGATGTCGAAGGAGAGGGCCGGAGTGGTGGGCGCGGCGCCTGTGATGACGAACGTGCCGTGGTCGCTAGCACTTTCACAACAACACTTCGAGATCGTGATTGAATCCCCGACGGACACAGCGAATCCGCCCAAGTCGGTGTCCTTGTTGACATAGATCCTTGTGTCGCTCACACTTGCACTCGCGCTGAGGTACATGGCATCATTCTCCATGCAACTGTCGCAGTCGGCAACGGCGAATGTGCCACTATCGCAACTGGAGCACTCAGTCGTGCGACGACGCCGGGTCTGCCCAGTGCATGATTGGGGAACGCTGGTGCCAACCGCCACATACTGTCCGCAAGGGGCTTCGCCATTCGTTGGCAATTCTGTAGGGCAGATTGCTTCCGTCTCGTTGAGGCAGCCGTCGCCATCCAAATCATACTGCTCATAAGGCGGACTCATGTACGTCGCATTTGCACCCGCGATAATGGCTTCCGAAACCTCAAGACAACCGCTACCATCCGTGTCGTAATATACGAACGAGCAGCACGAACCTGTGCAATTGCACATGCATGGGACCCCAGGCTCCATCGTGGGTTCGGGCGTCTCCGCCGGCCGGCCGCTGAAGTCCTGCAGGGGAGGCATTCAAGATCCCCGATGCAGACACCCTGTGCAGAAAGAGGAAGAGGTGTATCAGGAGGCGGTGGCGGATGATCAACGGCAGGAGGAAGAAGTACGCAGGCCGAGACAAATCTAGCAGATACGCCCAACACAATCTCCAATGCCCCATGAAATGTTTATCCAGCCCATACGCAGACTTCTGTATGACTTGCACATCGGCGCAAGTCACGTAAACGAAAACAGACGGCACCGCACCCCACCGATAAGGAATCGATGCTAAATTCTCCCACGCGCTTTGCAGACAGAGGAGGCGGGAGAGAGAGAGAGAGAGAAACAAAAAAAAAGAAAGAGAGTTAAGGTAGAGATATTGGGGTGGAAGGAAAGCTGGAGGGTCCCAAGCGGGAAGGCCATTCCTGAGTGAAATTGGAAGAAGTCTCCAGCGGGAGCGTCATTTCTGAGCGAAGCCGGAGGAAGTCTGAAGCGGGAGCCTCATTTCTGAGTGGAATTGGAGGAAGGTTCGAGCGGGGGGCCCTGTTCCCAAAGGTTCCGCAGTTCATGCTTGAACTTCAGAGAATCATGCAAAACATAAAACTGTCGCCACTTTTGGGCCTCTCAGCCTTGAAATTCTAGGAAGTCTTAAGCGGGAGGCTCAGTACTGAGTGACCTTGGAGGACGTTTCAAGCGGGAGCGTCATTTCTGAGTGAACTTGGAGGATCCCCAAATCCCATAGGGATCCTGGTTCAGAGGAGTCCTTATTTTAATTCGGGCAAGCTCCAAGGGGGTCTTTTTTCCCAAATGAACCCAATATCTAGTGTTAATTTTCACGGGTCCCGGAGACACGTGCACAGCTCCACTTGCCAAGGGGGTCTTCTCACAGTCCTAGATCCCAAACTGCTTTTCTGCCGAATCCCGTGGACCTCCATTTTCCAAAGGGATCTTTCTTACAATTCTATATACAAACACTAATATTCCAATTCTAGAAAAAATGCTGTCTGCTGGTCTGCCGAACCCTAAGAACTTCCACTTTCCAGACGGATCCGTAATACAAATCTATATACTGAAATTATTATTGCTACCAGGTCCCGAGAAGCGCCACGTTCGAGAGGGGTCCTTATTACTATTATATGCCAGAAGTGCCCTTCTGCGGTAGTCAGAGGAGCTCCAGCTTCAGGGAGGATTCCTGCCGATTTCCGAGGAGCTCCACTTTCCAAAGGGATCCGTATCTGAAAAGATCAGATTTCCAGAGGGACCCTTGTTGCATATATATATATATATATATATATATATAAAAAAAAAGGTGGTCACATGTTGCTGCCAATTCCCGAGGAGTCCCACTTTCCAAATGGACCCGTATTACAATCCTGTATCACATATATATATATATATATATATATACTAGAACCACGCGCGCGCTTCGCGCGCGCTTAGGTTCTAGCTAGGAGGCGAGCTTGAGTCAACGAAAGTCGCAGGGAAGGGGGCAGGGGGAAGAAGGCCAGAGAGCGCTGAAGGATACAAATACTGGAACCCTCTTGTGATTTTGTGGGGGGCCTCGTCCGGCCGCTCGCTGGGAGTTTGACGTAGCTTCTCGGGAGCCTCTGAACCTGTCGGGGGCCTCCTGGAAGCAGGTTCGAAGCATTTTGGGGGCCGATTTGGGGCTTCTCGGGGCCTCCTTTGGGCCTCTTGGGGGTCTCCTGGGGCCTCTTGAGGGGCCTCCTTGGGGCCTCCTGGCGGCCTCTTGGGGCGGAAGGCTCGAGCTTGCGGTTCGTGGTCCCCCTCTGGGCCCCCTCTTGGGCCCGTCTTGGGGCCCTCTTGGGCCATCTTGGGCGCCTCTTGGGCCGTCTTGGGGCCCTCTTGGGCTGTCCTGGGGCCCTCTTGGAAGCTTCTTGGGCCGTCTTGGGGCGGTCTTGGAGGCCTCTTGGGCCGTCTTGGACGCGGTGAAAGCCCAAGATGCGAACATGCGAAACATATACGTTTTCCCATAGGAATGGCACGATTTTTGTTTCTTGGACCTCTCTTGGGGTGCCTCTCGGAACGTCTTGGGGTGTTTTTTTGGAAGCCTTTTGGCGCCTCTGGGCGGCGTTTTGGCGCCTCCTGGGATATGTTGGGCCGGAAGCTCGGAATTCGAGAGTGGCTTTCTCCTTCTGGGACCCCTCTCGAAGTCGTCTTGGGGTTCTCTTGGGCCGTCTTGGGGCCGTCCTGAGCCACTCGTGCGCAGCCTTGGAGCGCTCCCGGAGGCCTCCTAGGCCGTCTTGGAGGCCTCTTGGGCCGTCTTGGACGCGGTGAAAGCCCAAGATGCGAACATGCGAAAAATATACGTTTTCCCATAGGAATGGCACGATTTTTGTTTCTTGGACCTCTCTTGGGGTGCCTCTCGGAACGTCTTGGGGTGCTTTTGGGAGCCTTTTGGCGCCTCTGGGCGGCGTTTTGGCGCCTCCTGGGATATGTTGGGCCGGAAGCTCGGAATTCGAGGTTGGCTTTCTCCGTCTGGGACCCCTCTCGAACTCGTCTTGGGGCTCTCTTCGGCCGTCTTGGGGCCGTCCTGGGCCACTCGTGCGCAGCCTTGGAGCGCTCCCGGAGGCCTCGTAGACCGTCTTGGGCGCCTCTTGGGCCGTCTTGGACGCGGTGAAAGCCCAAGAGGCGAACATGCGAAAAATATACGTTTTCCCATAGGAATGGCACGATTTTTGCTTCTTGGGCCTCTCTTGGGCTGCCTCTCGGAGCGTCTTGGAGGCTTCTGGGACCTTCTTGGTGTCATGACAGGCGTCTTGGAAGGCATCTGGAGCCATCGGAGCGCGTTCCGAAGCCGCCTGCGAACGATCTTGGACGGCGTCCGGCGGTCCGACGAGCCTCCGGGCCCCCCGGGGCCCACATTTGTGGTCGGGATCCCGGCCCCGGGCCCCCGGACCCGGTGCGCCGTTATATGTATATAGTCTGCCTTCCAGAGGAGCCCCACTTTCCAGAGATATGCGTATTACATATACAGAGTAGATATTGCATTCGCACATGTTCCCAACCATCCTGTTGTGTTGGGTACTCGTTTTGAGGAGACAGCAAACCGCGTCTCCTCCTCGTTCCTCCTCCCTCCTCCCATCGAAGGTCCCAGTGGCACAGTCCGCATGCGTCCCCGCCACTCATTTCGGCACACCCCTCACACGTTTCGCGGCCCCATAAAAGCTCCGCCGAATGTCCCAATGGCACAGTCCGCGTGCGCCCCCGCCATTTATTTCGGCCCACCCCTCATACGTTTCGTGGCCCCATAGGAACTCCACAAAAGGTCCCAGTGGCACAGGCCGCATGCGTCCCCGCCACTGATTTCGGCCCACCCCTCACACGGTCCGTGGCCCCATAGGAGCTCCGCCGAAGGTCCCAGTGGCACAGGCCGCATGCGTCCCCGCCACTCATTTCGGCCCACCCCTCACACGGTCCGTGGCCCCATAGGACCTTCGCGGAAGGTCCCAGTGGCACAGTCCGGATGCGTCCCCGCCACTGATTTCAGCACACCCCTCACACGCTTCGTGGCCCCATGGGATCTCCGCCGAAGGTCCCAGTGGCACAGTCCGCATGCGTCCCCGCCACTCTTCGGCACACCACGCAAGCGCTTCGTGGCCCCACAGGACTCCGCCGAAGGTCCCAGTGGCACAGTCCGCATGCGTCCCCGCCGCTCTTCGGCACACCACGCAAGCGCTTCGTGGCCCCATAGGAGTTCCGCCGAAGGTCCCAGTGGCACAGGCCGCATGCGTCCCCGCCACTCATTTCGGCCCACCCACCACACGTTTCGTGGCCCCATAGGAGCTCCGCCGAAGGCCCCGGTGGCACAGTCTGCATGCGCCCCCGCAGAACATGTCGGCCCACCCCCAAAACATTTCGCAACCGCATAGGAGCTCCGCCGACGGTCCCAGTGGCACAGGCCGCATGCGTCCCCGCCACTCATGTCGGCACACCCCCAAAACGTTTCGCAACCCCATAGGAGCTCCGCCGACGGTCCCAGTGGCACAGTCCGCATGGGTCCCCGCCACTCATTTCGGCCCACCCCTCACACGCTTCGTGGCCCCATAAGACCTCCGCCGAAAAGGCCCCAGTGGCACAGCGCAGTCCGCACGCGTCCCGACACGTTTCGTGGCCCCACAGGAGCTCCGCCGAAGGTCCTGGTGGCACAGTCCGCACGCGCCCCCGCCACTCATGTCGGCACCCCCCTCACACATTTCGTGTCCCCATAGGAGCTCCGCCGAAGGTCCCAATGGCACAGTCCGCGTGCGTCCCCGCCATTCATTTCGGCCCACCCCTCACACGCTTCGTGGCCCCATAGTAGATTCGCCGAAAGTCCCGGCGGCGCAGCCCGCATGCCCCCCCGCTACTCATTTCGGCCCACCCCTCACACGCTTCGTGGCCCCATAGTAGATTCGCCGAAGGTCCCTGTGTCATACGCCGCTCTGCCCAGTGGCAAGAGCTCGCTGTGCTCCGCGCAGCGGACGACCCGCGCGCGTCGCTGGGACACCTCCGGGGCGACCTGCGCGCGTCGCGGGGACTCCGCGCTGCGCTGCGCCCGCAGCCTTGGACTTTTGAGTGCGCGGGTAAAGAAGGGGAGGACACGGGCGCGATCCTCGCGGGGGGGCGCGCCGACATTGGCGTCGCGGCGCGCGGGCGATGCCGTCGGGGAGTCCTGGGGAAGGTCCTTGCGGCGGCCACGCCCAGCGTCACGAGTACTCAGAGGCAGTCGTTCTCAAACTATTGACATTCATTTACAATTACACAATGCTTTGCCATACTCGCATTCATGCACGTGGACTCGCTCGCACGCAGATTCATGCACAGTAAGACGCACTCGCGCTCAGATGCACCCGCGCTCAGTCTCCCTACGTACTCAGATCAATCAATTTCGCTCGCGTCGTGTACCACGCCACTCTTGCCGGCACACCCCTAGCACGGTTCGTTGCCTCACAGGGATCACCACCGAAAAACTGAATCACAATTGCGGTACTCACACCTGCATATGGTTGGGTCCTTCACCAGGCGAATGTTATATTGCGGGCGTCTTCCCGAAACCGAACCCGAGCCCTTACCCCTTACCCGTCATTCAAAAGTAATACAGACCACGGGTCACCCTAGCAGTAGAAGTAGTAGTAGCAGTCGTAGTAGTAGTATTGTAGAAGTAGTAGTAGTGGTGGTATTAGTAGTAGTAGTCGTAGTAGTAATCGTAGTAGTAGTAGTAGTAGTAGTAGCAGTAGTCGTAGTGGTAGTGGTAGTGGTAGTAGTAGTAGTAGTAGCAGTAGTAGCAGTAGTAGTAGTCGTAATACTAATAGTAGCAATAGAAGTAGCAATAGCAGTAGTAGTAGTAGTAGTAGTATTAATACTAGTACTAAGACTAGTACTAGTGGTAGTCGGAGTAAAAGTGGAAGTCTTCGTAATCGTAGAGCTAGTAAACAAATACTAGAAATCGCATTCGTGTTCGCATTCGTAGTGTTATTAGTATTATCAGTAGTAGTAGTAATAATGCAAGTGGGGACAGCACCCAAAAAAAAACAATAGTCGTAGCAGTAGTGGTAGGAGCAACAGTAGTAGCAGTAAAGGTCGTAGCAGTAGTACCAGTACTACTAGCAGTGGTAGTAGTAGTAATAGTAATAAAGCCGTAGTAGTAGTAATAA